GGATGCCTTAGTAAGACCGTAAAGTTAGGAATTAGAAGTAAGTAGGATTGCAGCAGATCATCTTTCTTGGTTTAGGATTTTTGTTGATTGCTCGTAAATGGTTTCGCGCCCTGACGATGTTCATCGCATGCCGGACGAAAATTCCACACGGATTCATTAGGGTCGCAGGGCGGTGAGTCGAAGGCTTTTCCACCAAATCTAACGGTCACTGGTCCAAGGCAATCTTCCTTAGGTATCCTGTGAGGCCAATTTACGAATCCCTTTCACCCGCCTATTTAAGCGAAATGAAGGGTGGACTAGAATGAATCCCTGAGGTATTTTCGAACTCTAGCTCATCTTCTCATCCAACCCCAAAATGTTGTAAGTGTTTATTCGCTTTAACTAGGCTGACTAAAGACATTTTCTCCTGATTTCAAATAGCCTCTCAAATGCACTTTGCATTCTTTCTATTCAAAATAACTCCTTGATCTAGTCTTCTTTTTTTGCTGATCTTAAATGTACAAAGATAAAAGAGATATCACAACTTTGCAGCGAAAAGTTGACTAAGGGATGGACTTAACTAGTCTACTTGGAGAGTTGTAGGGTGATGCTAGAATGACAAGGCTCATTGAAGATGTTGGGAATGTACCAAGTCCATGGTCCGACGCTGAAAATTATCATAGATATTATGACAGGACTCCGGACAAAATACTTTCGTCTAGGTTCGTTTATAATTCGAACAAATTGCAAACAGCAAAACAATTCTATTTAATGAAAGATAAACACGATTATAGTATAGGGCACAACATTTTGGTCTTCTTACCTTCAATTAGTTAATTCTAATTATCCTTGTTTCGAAACCACCAGTAGATCCTGAATAAGGGATATCTTCACCCTGATTCACATGTGAGTACTCCTCATAAAAACATTGAACTTCCCTTAGCTTTACTTCCCAAAAGGTATACTTATCCAAGTTGGACTGCAGTTCTGATCTCACTTGGGATTCATTAGCACCTTCAGCAAGGATCGATCACGGATAGTACAGTGAATACTTGCGACATGCTACTACTAACCCACACTGCCAAAGTGTTCTACGTACTGTAATTAAATATCTTTAAAGGTTATTTGACCTTGTTATCGCAGCTTAATCATATTGGTAGGAACGCACCTAGTCCAGAGTCCATTGTATGCATGATAATTTACAAATTCGGACCGTGGGCATGGTACATTCCCAGACGTTTCGCCGGCATCGTCAGTGAGCCTCGCCATTCTTAGAACCACACAACTCGTCGAAAGAGACAAGTACTTGCTTTGATTAGGTTAAATGTTGAACCACAACGTTTGTGGGTTGGCAGACAAAAGACTAGGGCATAGCAAGTGATGGACTTGGTATTACGCATAGAAACAGGATAGACGCGGAGGAGACTGAAGCTAGTTGGGTAACGGTAAGTCTGTTTTTACCATAGACGTGGACCGTTTAGCAGACTTGACCATGAGACTTACTCAGGGGCTTTAGCCTCGAATTAGTTACCCAGACGCATGAGAAGGGTAATAACGCCTCGAGTAGCACAGATGGGGTGGTAGGGGTCGAGCGAAATACGTGAACCAGGGATATAGCAGACGGATCTTACGGAGCAAGAGATTGTGATACGACCTAGGGAAGAAGGACTGCGTAACAATATGGCCAACTCTGATCCACATTCCCAGCACAAAGGTGAAGGGAGTGAGAACGACAAGGTGGGATGTGAATGGTTTTCATTAATGCCGCTCAAAGGAGTACACCACACTACATCTAAATAAGCACGGTAAAATAGTAAAAGTGAAGGCATGATAGGAGAATATAGAAAATATGAATAGCCCAGGGCAGGAGAGATACCCCAACTGTTTAATACGCCGACTTTGGACATTATCATGCATACAATGGACTCCGGACTAGGCGTGTTCCTCTTAGTCTTCCTACCAATATGATCAAGTTGCGAAAACAAGGTCAACTAACCTCTATACAACGAAAGGAGACTGCGATAACACAAAATGCCACTCCATCTTGGTCTTAAAATCTTCGAATAAAAATCTTTAAATTAGGAACTAATAGAGGCATAGCTTTGCTTCCCAAAAGTAAGCTGCATCGGATAATGAATCGGGTTTAAGAGCTTAAAGCTTACCGGAACGTGACTTTCATCATCGTTGCTATTCATCAGGAATCGCTCAGGCCGAGCGCTCGAGTGTTCTGGACCCATTCCTTCGAAGCCGTGAGGCAGCAGAAGAACAAGACCAGACTGGCGGACCCATTTCTGCTGGCCGCTGCACAGGAACTGATCGATTATGCACTGAGCTGTGTTCATAAAATCTCCGAATTGGGCTTCCCAAAGGACCAGTGCATCTGGGTTTGTCAGAGAATATCCAAGCTCGAAACCCAGAACGCCAAATTCGGAGAGTGAAGAGTTGCAGATGGAGAATGGAGCTTGACCAGGATACAGGTTATTGAGCGGAATAAAAACTTTCTTATCTATTTCCTAAAGAATGAAGATAAATGAAGAAGAGCACAATAAGGAGTAAACATTTGAAGTAAGGAACAAATAAGGTAAAAAGTAAATTCCTCTCAAAAAAGGAAATGCGATCCAAAATAAGGACAGAACATGAGCTAGTGTATTTAGAAGCAATATTACAAAATGGCTCAATCATGATTGTCACATTATTGCAGGTCTCTGATCAACAAGAACATGGAAGCCCCAATAAAAGACCTAAAATCACTCTAATCCTGGCCTGTACTTAAAATCACCTCTTCTCCGTAACCCATTGGCATCTTATGCAATATGACGTAGTCGCAACTCTTCAAAGTGTAACGTGCACTACTCGATTTAATGTCCGTGGGGTACGCTGATGAGACATGGCTGCAGTCCAATATGGATAAAAATACCTTCTGAGAGGTTAGGCCAAGCGAAATTCAATCTTTTTTCTTGGCCTAATCATAGAATTATTGAAAAAAAACTCCACCAGTTCCTTATCAACTTAGGATGATAATAGTATTTATCAAGTTTAACCGATATATTTTCGTCCTTAAGTAGCTTCGAGACTACTATAAAATAAGATATATAAGTTGTGTTCATGCTCGTTCGTTTAAGGTGATAAAGGACTGGTAGTCGAATTTTCACACAGTGATATGAGTAGACTTTACGTTTCAATTGAATTTTACGTAGCCTAGCTTCCCAAAATTTGATCGTAGTTTTGACCTAGCCTAAGTCTCATCAGCACCCCCAGTGGGACTCGAACCTGGGTTTTGTAGTGTAGCATCGACATGCTAACCCCTACACCACACTACCACGAGTACCCTAGAGCCACATTGCCTAACTGAATTGAAAGGAAGCCTTAGCCTTTCCCACAACGCAGTTCTGTGATAGGACTGTCGATGGAGCAAAGTTGTATTTTTTATAGCAATCGACTATATAACTTGTTTTTCGTTCAAGTAGCTTTTCTAAACGAGATAGAATAAATATGACCCTTATATAGGATATACTAGAAGTCTAAAAAGCTGCATATGAACGAAAAATAAATTATGCAATCAACTGCTATAAAAAATGCAACTTTGCCTCATTGAAAATAACACCAGAAGAAAGCCTAGTTTTCTTGAAAATTGGCTTATGCTCTGTGACCCAAGAATACTCGTGAAAATGTGGAGTAGTAGTTAATATGCCGAGACTACACACTGAACTACTCAGGTTCGAGTCTAGCTGAGAGTGCTGATGAGTCCTATGCCAGGTTCAAACTGCAGTCCACTCCTGCCTGGATAACAATACCATATTCCAGTGGGTCACAGGGAAGATGCGAATTTCGAGACAGATCAAAGCTCGCCAAATTCACCCTTAAGGTGGGATAGTTGTTGATAAGGCAAACCTACATTTGCTATTACAAGAGAGGATTCTACTTATGTACGAAATGTTTCGAGACTATCAATAGATATTGAATAAGAAATTAATAGTTTAAGTTCAAGGAGTTATTCAAGTACTAACACTCAGCCAAGAAGAATACCAAGACATCGTTAGAGCTAGAAACGATCAGTTATGAAATATTAGCAAATAACACTAAACACAAGTCTAAGGCAATACCCCTTTGGCATCCGGTGAGGCCTTTTCAAACAAAATAAAAGTTATGCTAGCATCAATAAGCAGATATTATTGTGAAAGCAAATTTGAGTAATTTAAAGAGGTTCTATTAGCTTGTAAAATAATCTTGTTAGGCTCCAAATTCAGCTAATAATTGCATGTCAAGAATGGAGGAATGCCACATGGAAGAGATAAGATTTACATCAATAAGTTTAGTTAAATATGAGTGAATAGTTTGCAATTTCAAAAAGTTATATAATACCATGTTCTTATTTGATAGGGATATTAATATAAATTGAATAATAACAAAAAAGTATGATTACAGAGCCTAAGCTTGGCCGATAGAGACCAGAGTGATAATGAGCTAAATAACGTCAGATTAGTAAAAAAAGCTTTTTAGTGGAGAATATGTAAGGGAAAATAAAAAGGCGGTGATATTTACTCATGTCTTGACCTTGCCTTCGCCGGCTAGGCGAACTAGCAGTAAATTGGGGAACAGAAACGGCTCTTAAGGAAAATCTCAGACTTCCTTCAGGTATCAAAGGTATGAAGACCAAGATGCTGTGGCCTTTTCGTCCAGATCAGGTTGCTATAAAATAATGTGTTCATGTGGTCGCTTTTATGTTTAATAGACTTATCGTACCATTCAACAAAGGGCGGCAGAATAAAAGTACGCCTGGGGAGGATGATGGAGTCAAAAATTAAAGCCAGCAAGGCACATGGCAAAAATTAGACATAAGGTTGAACGGTCTAAAACGTCGTTTTGCCGATTCTTGTGTGTCTCTAGCTAAGCGCAAAATTAAATAAACTATTCGAATCAGCTGATCTGGTAACACATTAAATGTCATGGATATCGTTAAGAAATTAGGTAAGAACTACTTATGCTTAAGTAATAGACTTATAGTGACCTATCCCCACACCTTTCCCATTTAATGTTTAGTTTTTGTTACATCCCATACGTCCAAAGTCCTCTGCCATAGTAGTTATCATAACTCCCAGCATCAGACCGTGCGTTCTACTAAGTCACCCTGACAACAAGACCAAGTTGCGACAACAATGTCAACCCACTTTTATAAATCGAAAGGAAACTGTGACGATACCGGGGGCCACACCATTTTGCTCTTCATATCTAGCATTTTGTTGTCTGGGTTTCAATCACCGTCACACGAAGAAAAAATGCAACCCTTAACTATACGTGTGTTCGACATTATTTAATCGGAGCGATGGCTAAAGTGTAAAGATAAAAGGGGGAGTGGTCAATAAATCTTTAGGATTGAGAGCTGACGTTACAATCTGTCGTTATTAGTTTGAACTGTCACTGCTGGTTTCGTAAATATACTACACATGAAGGTATATAAGCATGCATAAACAGACACGTACATGCTTCGAGATTTACAAAATTTAAGCTAACCAAATCGCATAATGCCGCATCAAAAAGCATGGATATAGGGATTATATACAGGATTTAGGGATAGGCTGGCGAGTTTTCATGACTAGTTAGTTCGAATATGGTTTGTTAGTGATCTAAATTGCTAACTATATGAGCTCAGTTTCGCGCTAATGTATGGAGAAACAAAAAATTAATCATGAAGTGTCTTGTATAAAGGAAGATAGGTAACGGGCGAGAATTCGATGTGGGAAAGCAGATGGCAGTATCGGTTCAAGAGGAGTGCCCCAGTTATAGAGGATCACAGAGAGTAACAACGCCACAAAATGGATGCGGAGGAAAAATGACAATTTCTTAGATAGTTTGTTTGCTTAATCTAATACCCTTGTTTAGTTTTTTGCATGCCACTTTCTGATTAGTTCAAAAGATGGAGGCAATGCGGTACCAAGCTTTGATTGACCGAAGTGAAATAAATAGTGATGATTAGTTATGCCCTCGCGTGATATTTGTCAAAATCTCTTGCGCTATGGCTACGCACCTAATATAACAAAACGAACCATTGGAGTGGGAAAGTGTAGAATCAGGTCACTACAGTTGTAAGAATGATATCCTACTCTGATGATACCCGTCAGCTAATGGACGAATGCTCAGCTTGTTTTCACTGAAGTTGAAGATTGCTTTCGGGAAAAAATCAACAAAAATGTTCTAGTAAAGCCAATCAACAGCGAGCTTAACAATTAAAACACAATTACTCGGAAATAAGTATCCTAGAGGCTTGATTACAAATAAAATCAGATAAGGAAAGCGTTTCTGAATATGGAATAGCATAGATGGAAGAACATAGATTTCAGATAAAGAAAAACTGAAGAACTCGTCAGAGTTCTTCAGTTATGCCCACTTTTATAGGGAGATTTGGCCTATTCTCCCGATCAATAATGAAGAAAAATTGGGTTTCGAAGAATTTATTAATAAAATACTGTGGTATAACTCTCAATTTCGAAAGGAAAGTTGGTTGGAATGAATTCGCGATGTGATCTAACCGGAAACCGGAGGATTGTCGCATAAGGAAGACTGTTGAATTATCCGAAGTCATTGGCTTACCGTCCTGTGACCCCGATCAAACTGTGCTAAGCTTTCGTCTGTACTGTTACAGACATGACCAAAGCAAGATTGCATACTTTACGAAATATAGCAAAAATATACTAAACCAAGAGATAAAAATAAAAAAAACTCGTGTATATTCATTATTTTTTACTTTATTGACATTAAATTAATAATTAATTTGATGAATAAGCCTGAAAATTACTGCACATTTTCTCAAATTGAAGCTTTTACAATATTTCGCGGCACCCCTGTAAAGAGGCTGCGGCACCCCTGTAAAGAGGCTGCGGCTCCCCGGGGCGCCGCGGCGCACAGTCTGGGAATCACTGCCATAAAAGATTGATGTTGGAGTATCTCTTATTTCGTTTGAAGATGCGAGTGGAAGGGATTCGTAAGTTAGTTCCACCAGAGGCTGTGGGGGGTTGCCTTCGAGCTGTCGTAGATTTGTGCGAATAGGTCCTCAGCGCACCGATCTGCGACCCCGATGAATCCTTACTGAGCTTCCGTCCGTCATTTGACGGACATCGTCAGAACATGAAACTATGCGCAAATCTACAATCACAGCTCCAAGTCAACCCTCCCACAGCCTCTGGTGGAACTAATTTACGAATCCCTTCCACACGCC